ATAAATGAAAGTATAAAGAAACTTACATTACAGCATAGGAGCAGAGATATTAGATATTAGTATCTGCCAGCTAGCAACTAACGTTAGCCTCATAGCTAGCTAATGTAGCCAAGCACAAGCCCGTTGTTAAAGTTAGTGTTAGCAAAAACAAATACTTACCTTAGGCCATGAGTACTCTGCCATTTGGCTTGAAGTGTGTTTGAGTCAACTGGCATGAAGAATAACCGAACTGAGCTGGGAACAAAGTTGTAAACAGAGGATGGAGCGTCCCGCCTTAACTAGACCGGCTCATCTCAAAGGGTATGTTGGATATATGTTACAGCGAGTACTATAGTACTGAATATAGGCTCAGGTGTGACTATTTCCTACTTTTGTCAAATTAATAATCCAACCTGCACACTGCAATTAGCGCACATGACATATTTCTATCCTCATGTATAGATTTCAGCTAATGGCATAATTGGTATGCTAGTGTATGTTGTAATATATTAGTACTGCTGTGTTTTTGTGCGTGTTTTGTTAAATTGGAAATAAAATGGTGAATGGACTGCATTTATATTTTTCACCTGAGTAGGTCAAAGCGTTTTATAACACCTCTCATTCAGCCATACACACACACACACACACACACACACACACACACACACACAGCGATGGCCAGTGGGACAGTAAGCCACTCATTTTTTTGTATTTAAGTAAAAATAGCAACACCTGTGAAGAAAAATACTCTGTTACAAGGAGAAGTCCTGCATTGAACATTTTACTTAAGTAAAAGTACATTAGCATCAAAATATACTCAAAGTACCAAAGTACTCATTATAGCCTACAGAATGGCAGATTTCTGAATCATATATAGCCTAGTATATTAAAATATTATTAGATTATAGTTATGGATGCATTAATATGCACTTTAATGTTGCAGCTGTTGGGGGTAAAGGTAAAGGTGGGGGTAATGTGGGTAAATTAAAAAATTAATTAAAATGTACTATGTTTTGAGAGTCCTAACTACCACAATACAATGGTGACTGAATTTATTTGGCAGAGGTTTAAATGATCTAGGGTGGTCCACACAGCATGCATCTTTCTTCAACTACAAGACTACAGATGTTGTGAAATCAAAGAGTTCTTGGCCTCAGCGTTAGTCCACTGCCAATCAATTGGACAAATCTTGTGTTTCCATGGCGATGTGAAAGGCTAGAGGTGACTTGTCTTTATAGAGAAAGGTGCAGTCACTGGTGAACTCTGTTTCCTTCAGCATGTGTGGGTGGATGGGCAGTATTTAAAATACCAACCCAGCCACAAGCACACTGCTGAGCACCTTCTGTGACTTCTGCATGCCAAGAAATGCAACTGACCATTAATGTTACACATACATGCGTTGAGCACATAGAAAATGTTGCAGTGGATAGAAGAGCCACCCCAATAAACATATTTATATTAACACACATAAAATGCACAGTCACACATGCATAGATCTACAACAATCTTTTTACACCTTTTGTTGTTTATTGGTGCTCAACATTCACATCAGGCAAAGATAAAACAGATGTGAGATGCTGGATGATGTATATGTGATTGCTTCTTCACCTACTCCCTCCTATCGTTTACACTTCATTATAATATCCTATCATTGATCTTTTAAGGTTTATCATTGATACAGCTGATCAGTGACAAACAATGATGCAGTGCCTCCACTCTCCTGGGATGGGAGTCATCAGTAGTACCTAGATCCTTTGAAAGGAACAATACAATGTAAGTACTCCGCAAAGGTCCATTAAAAATCTTACAAGAGTAAAAGTACACAAGTATTATCAGCAGATTGTGCTGAAAGTACAAGTTCTGATAAAACAAAATGGCTGATATATTATTATAAATGACATAATATATAATTAGATTGCTAATTAATTAATAATCACAAGCAGTATCCAGTACATTCCAAAATACAGTTAGGTAATTTAATCCATTGGCCCCCAAGATAAGGGTGACGATAAAAATCGGAGGGATCGTGAGACAATTAATGTTGTTGGAAAGAAATAACAATGTTCTCTATGCAAATTTAAATTCATTTTTAGGGACTTTTCTCTAATCTTTGCTTTAAATTTCTCTTTGGTGCAACAATTCACAGACATCTAAGACATGACAAGGGGCCCCAACAAGACACTGCTTTTTGTCACAAAGTCAAAAAGATTGGGGAACCACTGGTTTAATAATCAACAACAAATTGAGTTTTATAAGCTCGTCTAATTTTCTTAATGTAATATCTCAATCTTAATCAGTATCTGATTAATCTGCCAAATAAACTAGTAGAGTGAAAAAAAGTTCCGCTCTGAAATGTAGAGTAGCAGTCTAAAGCAGCTTAAAATGGAAATACTCAACCTTAAAACTGTCCTTCAGTACAGTTAAGTACTTGCCACCAAAGGAGGTCATGTAGATGTAGTAACAACGTTAGTACAAAGAGGGATGCTGACAAGTTGACATCATTGTGGGGTAAACGAAGGGTTAATGTGCTGGGAAATTAAAGTGTGATGTGACACATCAAGGTAAGATTTAAAGGATCCACAGAGAGCACTCGCCAAAGGTCAAGTGTCACGCAGTGTGTGCAATTCTACGTATCCAAGGTTTGAATTATTTAATTTCAGCTTTATTTGAGACTGAGGTACATTATGGTCGGAAAGATGGGATCTACTTCAGAGTAGGTGGTGTTGAAGCAGTGATAGTGATTCAGATCCACAACGCTGTAAGAAGATGATAATAACCTCAGCTCAACCTCAGTTACAAAGCAGGATCTTTCAAATAAAAATCAAGATTAGGTCAGCAAGCATCTTGTAATTCCAACATAAAGGGCAACCGGTAGCCGCTGAAAAAAAGAAAACCTGTATCACAGTCCATGTCTTGTCTCCTGCTCTCCCTTCTCCAAGTCTGCTCTATCGCTCTCTAAATACATAAGGTGCTGTTTCCAAGGTAACAACTCTATGGAGAATTAGCCACCTGAAATCAAGATGGAGTGGAAAAGGAGGGTGAGCAGTGGTCTGCAGGCTCTTGTCAGGAAAAGACCCTCATCTTCACTGTGTCACCATCTGTCCATCTCTGTTTCTTTAGACTATCAGTCTTCATTAACCCAATACATCATCCCACAAGCTATATCTTAGACCAGAGCCAGAGAGAGGCATGTCTCAAAATGACTCCCATTAGCGTCAGGATATGTGTTTGGTGTTTGGTGGTGAGCTGTAGCTGGAGGGATCAATTGCATCTCAATCTTGTTGTCTAACTCTCGGCCCAAAATATTCCTGTCTACATGGTCTTTTGCACATTTGCTGCAGTCCAGAGCAGGAGATCTCTCTTATAGACAGTGCACTTTGAGGCCATAAATGCCTACTTATTAGGAGATTTGAAAGTCAGACACCTTGCCAAAGTGAAATTTGGTATTAGTGTCACTATCACAAACAACAAAAGTAAAATCTAGTATTAGTAATAATATAATGTTTTAATAACAGTTTTCTGGTGTGGAGATCATCAGGTCTGTACCTGCTAATAGTGTTGTAGTACTTGAGACCGGTCTTAAGACCACTTTTTGATGGTCTTGGTCTCATCTACGTCTCGACCGCATTTGTACTCGGTCTTGTCTCAGGCTCGGATATTGAGGACTCGGGATTTCATTTCAAGACCAGTCAAGGCCGTAACTTTGGGAATATCAATAAATTGCTTTTGCATTGTCAGATTTGTTAACATCCTAACTTTGATTGAAAGTAAAACATATTGCTTCAAATGCAACCAATAATCCTAATTAACGACTGTCACCCCTCCCTGCGATGCTTACGTTCCTGCGTCTGGGCAGACATGATAGTATAGTAACACTTCCGGTGAGTAGCCTACCTTGTCTGTTTTGACTGCTTTAAGTTTTGTAGCGTAAGCGGCTCTTGTCCACTTTACTCGAGTGTATTTATAATCATGAGATTTCAGTGCCCTCCAGTGGTCGCAGTAGGAATGCAACACTACATACATTTGTCAGTTCAAAAATATGCATATTTCTCATTCTAATTGGTTACGACATTTCTTAAAAATGTATTTATATAAATTATTTATTTATTCATTTTCGAAAGTTAAATCCTTGTTTGGGAAAGTAGCTTGAGTTAAGAAATGATGGTCAAATGATCCTGTTTATTGTTTTCCATTGGTCACAAAAAGTCTACAACTCTACATTCTTCAGTGTAAAACAGATCATTATAGCTGCTGATAATTATTATTGTGCAGAGGTATCAAATATTCATATAGAAATAAGGTCAGAGGTATTAAAGAGGAAACTGATATAGAAATAAGGTCAATGTATCTGTATTACAAATACACTGGTATTAAACAATATAAAACAACATTCTGGAACAATGAGTTTAATTTATATCTCCTTTCACATACTTGGTGGTGGACAGAATATTAAAGACACCGCTGTCTCCTTTGACTGTTTTATTTGGAAAGTTTTTTACCAGTGTTTTTATAAAGGTGTGACCCACATAGACTTTATAAAAGTCAGTTACATTCCTGACTTGTGTTGATATAAGTATAATTGTTATGCATAATGTTCAACGCATCATTAGTGTGATTAACAAGACTAACATCAGGATTTGTAATTATTGATTTGCTTCTGGTGTGGAGACCAGTCTACCATCTTAACATGGTCATAGCAGAGGCGGACGTGAATGTTTTCAGTTGTTTTCAATTTTGCATTTTGCATTTCCAACAAGTTTTTATGTGTCTGCTTCTCCTGATTGACTTGGATATAAAGCATTGTTTAGTCAAGTGGCTGATGGCATCTCATACTGACCTACACACAATATTTGATTTGTCCAAGCAGAGCAGGCTTACACACAAAAAAAAAAATAATTATATATATTTTATGAAGAAATAAAATTGATTACATTCATAATTGTAAGGCATTTATTTCTCATATACCTAGAAATTCATTTTCCCCCAAAGTTAATCCAATGAAAAGGCCCGTAAAGGAGATGTACAATAGAGATCTCTTTATTATAGTGCATTTATCAGATGTTACAAGATGAGTTTAAAAAAGCGTAAAAGGTAATTAAGAAATACATATGCACATACCTTGTCATTTGTACAGAAACGATCTTGAAAATTAAAGCTTCACATCTGAACAAGGGTAGGTGGTGGATGATGTCAAGTTAAAATACTTTCTTAGAGATTTTATATACATTTGTATTTCTCGCTGTATACCAGATTAAGTCACTTATCCTATGACCTTTATAGATGCTTAGGAAATACCTTAATGTATGGACAAAGAAAGCCCAAAAGAATAGTCGATCAGTTACTCAAACTTTCCAAGAAAACACCTAAATGTCCAGTTCTAGAAAAACAAATGAAATTTACTTTAGATGTCAGTGTGATATGACCGTAATCATCTTCACTCAGTAAGGGATGTGCACAGTTCAAGATTGGTTTCATATTATTTGTAGGAGCCTTTGGGATCAATGGATGTGTGGGAAACTATTTTGTTATTGGGTTAGCAGGTGCCATTTGTATTTGCACATTTTCACTGTCTGCTGGTGTAGCGCAATGGAAAGGGTTACTGTCTATGGATTAGTTGCAAGGGCTGATGGATAAACTGCTGTGTTAACATAGACCATTGTTGTGCAAGCTGATGAGGTATACTCCAGGGGAAGCGCCCTGGCTACATGCAGGAAAAACACCATAAAGCCTAAAGCACTGAGGAAGCATTTACAGTGCTTAGTCATACAGTAAGCCAGAGAAAAACACTTCCAATTCAACTGTACCGCTTATCATCGCGCTGGCAATTTGTTCAAGAGTGTTGTGTCCTCTGGAGAACACGAGGGGACGACCTCACGCTCCGCAGGCAAATCCAAAACTGAACCAAACACAATGAGCCCTTTCTGAATCCAACCAATTGGTCCCAAGAGCATTTCACTCAAAAGACTGCACACCTGGCATGTCAGCTCATGCTAAAGTAAACCAGGTCATGCATGCATTAACAGTAAAGTAAAAAAAAAAAATACACACAATACAATAGAAAACAGACCCTAACCCAAAGAACTACATACAAGACAAGACGACCAGTAAATAAAAAGCCAGAGTGGGAGCAACTCTAGAAAGGCCTCACCATTCCAGTTGACTGGATGTAGCTGAAACCCTCACAGCACCCGAGGATACACACATTAGAAAATAAATACCATGTGTAATGGCCATGAGGGATAACGTTCAGAGGTGGGACTAAATTGAATTTAAAAACTGAATTATTTAACAAATGGGAAAACTGATCTCCAGGAACACATGCTGACTGAACCTATTCAGTGTTCACTGCAGTAATCAAAACTCACTTTCAAAAGAATGTGAATTCATTTGGGATGTCAAGTATTTTATTGTCTCAAATATGACGGTTACACTGTGGTATACTGTGTTGTGTACCTGGCTTTTAAGGGTGAATAAACAGTCATCACAAAAGCCTTAATGTTACCAGCAGAAGTTAAGACTGAATTATTGTTCATTTGTAACAAATATCCTGGACAGATAACACGCTGGGCTCAGCATCATGTGTCACTTTGTGGAGACCAGTGCAGTTGGATGAGGTGCTTGAGAGTTAACTGATCAAGGCACAGCAGGGCTGCTCCCACTCAGCTCACACACATTCATTCATCCAAAAATATTCATCCAAACACACACACATACAGTACACAGATGTAGGGGAGCACTGGCCAAAGGTCCAACACTTCAGATGAAAGAGGAAAGGAGAGGAGAGAGTGAGACCAGGACCAGTGCAGTCTCCCATCACACTGCAGACAGAGATGACAGACAGCAGATGGGGTGATGGATCATTTTGCGTTCTTTAGCTGGTTTGAAAGCCAGTCGAGACCCTCATAGAGACCATCTCCACTAGTGGCACACGTGGCTTGGATATACCAGCTACGCTGGCGCAGCGAGTGCAAACCCAGCTTGTCTGTGATCTCAGCTGCATTCATGGCATTGGGCAGGTCCTGAGAGTAGAAAACAACACTTTATTAACGAGAAGAAGAACAAGTAACTGACATTCACTGTTCAGGTTTGCACAGATTATTTTTTTAGGCCAGTTGCAATCACCAATTGGTTTTTGAATATAATTATCAGACAATACTAATATTGACTTCAATGCTGATTGAATAGTATCTGACATATAGAACAGCTGTAGCTACTAAATCTGACACTTAAGTATTTCTAGTAGCACCAGAAAAATAAATGGTCCTACATTTAAATGCTGAAATTATTGATATAGTATGAATGAAAGTTTAATATTATAATTTTGAGTGAATATGTATCACTGTTGGAAAAAACAAAAATTACCTGTTTGTTGGCAAACACAAGCAGCACAGCATCCCTCAGCTCATCCTCAGCCAGCATTCGCATCAGCTCGTCCTTTGCCTCACCAACTCGCTCCCTGTCATTACTGTCCACTACAAAGATGAGGCCTGAAAATGGAAAAGAGGTTTGTATGAAGGAATCTCCATGTCTCCAGATGTAATAGAGGATTGTACTGACCTTTGGCTAATGCATGTACAACAGACTTTGAGAAACAATGCTCACCTTGTGTGTTTTGGAAGTAATGCCTCCAGAGTGGCCTGATCTTGTCCTGACCACCGACATCCCACACTGTAAAACTGATGTTCTTGTATTCTACTGTCTCAACATTAAAACCTGCAGATGAATAGAAAAAAAAGAGAGATTAACAAGAGAAATGTCTGAGTTATCGCACAGCATGGTCGTCTTAGCAATGGCAAGATATCAGTCACTGTAGGTGTTAAGCTGTGAATTTCTCATGAAGACGCAGGACTCACCGATGGTAGGGATTGTGGTAACAATTTCTCCCAGTTTGAGCTTGTACAGGATAGTGGTCTTTCCAGCAGCATCCAGTCCCACCATCAGAATCCTCATTTCTTTCTTGCCAAACAGTTTACCAAACAGGCTAGCAAAATTCCCCATCTTGGCTCACCTGCAGAAGGAAAAACAATATTGAGTCGTCAGGTCTTGTGTGTTCACGTTCCACATTTATACACTGATGTTGTTGCCGGACCTGTCCCGGCCTATAAAGTGGAGGTGTCTCAATTAAGTTTTTGATCCCGAACCTTTGCTATTATACAATATATTATACAGTCGAACCTGATACTAATATTTACATAAATGCTGATTAAATATATCTAACAAACAACAGCTGCAGCCTCCTAAAGCTGACACATCTCATTCTTTACAAGCTACTTGATCCAAATACTGGAAGTACTCATTCAGAAATATTAACTTTATAAGCTTAAATTCTTAATATAAACCAAAGTTTAATTGGGTATGCAACTCCTGAAATTGACAGGAAGTGAACAGCTGGAGAGAAGACCAGTCCTTTGAAATATGCTAGTCTGGACCCAGCTCCGATCTTTAGGACAAGCTCGGGACATCTCTACCATAAAGCCATTCAAAACCAAGAAAGGTGTAAAATATTTCCTATTTTAATTAAAAACAAAACAAATCAGATCTTTGTTTACTTCTATTGAACAGGTTTCTGCAGCAGGGACAATATAGCTTAGAATTATCTATTTACATATCAATTTCTTTAGTAGGATAGAACAATCATTTCTAATGAGATATTTACTTAAAGGAATGCAAACTAGACTTGGATATGTGGCAGAAAATAGATGGATTAACCAATTAAAAAATTTAAGTTGTTTCTAAATGACACATTATGAGTTGATGAGCATCTTAGCTGTAGTTAGCTGCAGTGACAGTGTGAGGTCTACTGGTTCTGACAGAAGCCCCACAAAATAAAGTCTGAACAGCCTCCTGCAGCACAATGCACTGCTGCAACAAGATGTAGACAAAATGAACCATACTTGAGTAAAACCTGCACCCACTGTATCTGTCTGAAAGGTGTTTCACGTACACTGAACAGTCAGGTTAAGCTAGTTTATGACCAAGTGAGACCAGACAGGCTTTGCTTGCCATGTTTGAATGTAGAAAAACAGATTTTGTCTATAAAACCCCAGAATTGACAAATGGCTATCACAAAATTTAAAATGCCTACATGTCAGAAACATCAAGTATTTATTGTACAAATACGTTAAACTGAGAAATGAATGCTATTCACCACACTGGAGAATTTGATTGCAACTCATGTTTATCTTCATTATCAGTTAATCTGCCAATTATTTTCTCAACTAATCTTTTAACCGTTAGGTCTATAGACCATCATAAAACAAGTGAAAAATAGATTCCTATAGCCCACAGCAAGCGATGTAATCAAATGTCATGTTTTGTCACACCAACAGTCCAAAACCTATAGTAGTAAGGAACCATCAAATGTTTGGCCTATCAGTTGACATTGTTTGTAGTAGCCGACAACGAAGTTGTAACTCAACACAGTGGAAAATAGAAACCCCACCGCCAACTAGCGTTTTGCCGGTGTAATTGCAGCGCTACAGCCATAACAAAGCATAGGTATAAATTGGCTTTTAAATGTGAAGGTGAAGAGTAACAGAAATAAGCCTAGGAAGTAAAAGAGAGCACATCGTTCCAGTTCAGAAACAGCAAGTGAGTAACTACAAAAACAATGTGCTGTCGGGCAGATTGGATTCTGGACAACTGCATCTATTGTCAGTGAAGGCAGTGAGCCTGTATGATTGTTGGTTGACCCTGCAAATGCCCAGTCTAGAAAAAAAAAAGCCGACACCTGACGGGCTGACACCAAGACTTGCTGTTTACAATTGTTTTGGATAGGCAGACATTCTCTTGAAATTACACTCCACTGTGGCTGTATCAGAAAAACTGACATTACATCACACTGTCCAGTGTCCACTGTAGGGCTGCAACTAACGATTATTTTCATTATCGATTTATAGTGAAAATTCATGGCAGACCAATCGATAAAATGAACCAGAACAGACTTGGTATCAGTTTAGAAGGTGCAAAAAATAAATAAATTATATATACACACACACACATATATACATACACATACACACACACACACACACACACAAAGTGATGAATGGGTATTTTCTTAATATTTTCAGATTTTATTTTTTTTTACATCATTGATTAATCAGTTTAGTAAAACAAGCCAGATAGATGGTTGAAATTAATCAATACTTCTTGCTTAGTATTAGAATAATTTTCAATATCCATATCTTGAATCATTCATCTAGCATCAGGGTAGTATCCAGCCTCTCAGAAAAATGTACTGGTAAATAGCTCCTTTGAGTAAACAGGACTGACAGGTTTTTGTTAACGCAACAAGAAACAATGTGTTACACTAAAAAAAAAAAAATAGTATTAAAAGTCTGGTAGTGTCTAACAGATTATTTAAATCTAACGAGATAATTTTGTGAAAACACACTGCTCCATGTAAAGGTTAGGTAACCTTGTGGACTATTAGCTTAGAGCAGATACCGTCAAGTACAGCACATATCTCACTTTAGTTACCCAATACCTTCGGATAGACGTCTGGGACGCTGATATGTAACGTACATAGTCAAATAAAAAATTTTTATTTCTCTGCCGCTGTTGACTCCAACGCCCTTAAAATAAAATGCTAACGTCAACGTATATAATATCCATTTGTTGACACTTGTACTCTGAATTAAGTTGAACTGATATCACAAGGTAACGTTAAATTACCCTCGATAAAGTACTTAATCTCAGATTATTGATGAGCAAACGTAAACTATAAAGCAGGAAGAGGAGTTAACCCAAGAGCAAGCTCGTTCATGTTAGCTAGCTGGCCTAGCCAACGTATAGGAATAATAGATGAACAGTAACATTAATTAATAATGAATTAATAACCCTGTGCGTAAAATCATGACAATTACTGATAAAATCGCTGTTTAAAAGGTAGGCGGAGTTTATATTTAGAGATAAAATTACTAAAAACTTCCTGAGCAAACACAGTCGCGCTAAAGTTAAACTGCTAAGGAAACCGCTAGCGAACTTCAAGAGTCCGGCTCCGAGCTTCCACAACTTCCAGCAAGCTGTAACACTGAATACGTTAACACATTCTCGGTCTCCCTCCTTATTTTAATGAACATCATATCTATAACATACTAATGTTAAATGTTTCCTAATAATATTTGTACCTTTTCTATTGCTTCTCGAGCCTTCCTTCTGGTCCGGTTCAACAACAAAATGGCGTTTTCCGGCGTCGTCGTCTTCTTCGCCGTCGTCATCATCTTTCCTTTCATCTTCTTCTTCTTGGTAATTTATGGCGGTGACAAACGTCGAAACGCTACATTAGCGCCGCCAAATGGTATGGAGTGTGGATAGGAATTATAAACTTCGGATAGTACAGAGAAACTATAATTTTCAATCAACATAGTTCGTCAATAATGTAAATAACACTGATCTCCCGAACTTCTCAGCAAAATATTTTCAAAAACTAACATCAACAAATGTATCCCATTAAGAAGTTACAACGTATACAAGTAACAACAAAAAGTAGCTAAAAGAAAAACATCTAGTCGAGAACATTTGATTAAAGTTCAAAGGTGCTTATTCCAGGTCAGACCAGTGTTTTCGATACATCGGTCATAAAACACCTGCAGGAGGAGAGGAGAGGGAGGGAGAGAGAGTGAGACATATTTTATTAGGTGGTTTTTAATGCCTAACATCACACAACAAAGAAATGTGGGCCTGTTCCTACATAAGTCATTTGTCAGTGGGTGGAAAAACTGATCCAACATAAGATCCATCTGACAATAAAACACTGATATTAGAGAAGAAGCCTAGAGCAACTTTTATGTCCTGTCTGATCATCAGATTACATACTTGCACTCACACACAAACCTTGATTTTTTTTACATAGGCTACTGTATTAAGAATAATGTACCAAGCTTCCCCCTTCATTTGTGTGCACAGCCAAAGCCAACATATGTTTTATATGTGTAATGAAGTGTCACACTTAGGTTGGCTCTATTTCTCTATTGTCAAACGACAAAAGGTGGTCCCCAATTATTTAATATGTAGGCCTAGTAGGTGATTACAAAAGTACTACAAAATACTGATCTATCTATACTATCGAGTATATACAAAATATTTACACTGAACTCTATAGCATCTTTTCTTATCTGGATTTTGGTGGACGGAAAGTCACAGGAAAATCAGGATTAAGTTTACTTACGTAAATTACTAAATTATTCAGACAAGATATCAGAAGACTTTAGGAAATTTTGATGTGAATTTTCTGATATTTTATTAACCAAATCATTAGTCAAGAAAATAATCTGCACATAAATCAATAATGAAAATAATTTGTTTGCACCCCAGTGACAACTATATGGTGTATTCTTAATTTTACATCACCTGGGCTTTGGTCTGACTTTGGTCAGCCTTTACAAACTTTAAAGCCATAAATCCATTCATGATCCCAGATTTAATTTTTATACTGAATCCACCAGATGGGGCTCTATCCATGGTTGGTTTTTCTTTTAAGGACCAATGAATTTTGAAAGAACATGGTGATGCAGTTTGATTGGAAGAACAGGCTTTAGAGCCTTTAATTATATACTTTTTAGTTTTGTCCTTTAATCTCAGACTTCGTGTTCTTCATCCATAGAGTTCTCTTGAATGCTGTGCTTTAATTTCCAAGATTGATGGATTTATGCTGCCTAATCACAATTATTATAATGTAATAACCAAAATCTCTCTTCTTCATGGCCACAGATCCAAGCTGTTGGCTAAGGACACTTCAGAGTGAATGTATGCTGCCCTTGTGGGTTAAACTTGGGGTTTGGTAGAACTTCAAACTCTGATCATGAAACCACCATGCTGCTTTTAAAGATTCTGAATATAATTTGTAAGACTTCTTACACTATTCACACAACTCGGAAATTTATGCAAAAATAAAGTCTTATAGGAAATAGTTAGTGGATATGTAAGGAATTGAGACAGACCGACATCAAAGAAAATAATTTTTTTAATGCCCTGCCCATAAAAATGTACTCGATTTAAGTTTTGATTCCGGTGCGTTCCCACGATGGCTGGAGACCTGAACATCCTAGTGATAGGTACCCAGGTGTATTCGAGATTTCTACATCACAGCAGGTAAACCCAGTCATTTTGCAGCTCCGACCACCTGGGTGGCGTTACAGTGGGAGGGAGCCTACAGTAACAATATTGAGAGAATCCAATGAGGACGCAGCAAGACATTTAACACCCCCACTCCCAAGGGCCCTGCCTCCCAGCGGACCACTGGGCCTGGCATACTGGATTGAAAGTCTGTGTGCATGTGGGGCCCCTTAAAGAGGTGCGCCGACCCGACGGCACAGACTTTCTCCGTTGAAGAATCAGCGAGATGAAGAGCAGCGCCAACCCGGCACCATGCGCTCCAGGCTCCCACGGACCGCCTGCTTATTGCGAATCATTGCACTCTGCATCCTTCTCTCGCACACTGCAGCTTATTTTGGGTCAGCCGATTTCCTTTTTACTTCTGCCCATCACATTAATTGAGACCTTTGTTATTTTAATCCCTAGAAGAGATCATAACAACAACCTTCACAAACCGTAGCCAAATTTCGCACATGTAATTGTGCACAAACTAATGCGGTAAATTGTTATTGCGTTGTTCGTTGTTATTTGGTTAGTTTAATTTTAATTTCCGCTTTTCCTGGATTTGTTGAATTGATTTGATTTTCCTGTATATGGATTTCTGATGTTTACAGTATTGACATCAATCAAATTAAAATAATACTCAATGTTTTCGATTAAATTAAATTACAGAGAAATTAACACTTTCAGGTGCTAAGACTGAGTAAACAGCGTAAAACAAAATAACTACAGCACACAAATTCATCATTGCAACATATTTTTATTAAGTCTAATAATAATGGCGGTAGACTTATAGTTTATTTCAAAGAAAGAACATTGCATTGCCTTTGTGTACGGATTACTTACAAATGCAACTCACCTGAATATGTTTTCTCTTTCCACTCCAAGGCTGACAGGTCGGGAACCCTTGGTGTTTTTACCGGGTCCGTTTTCCAATGAACCCCCGACAGGCAAGGCCCACCTGAAGCAGTGCGAGCAGATGACTCTGACCAGGCGGCAGAAGAGACTGTGTCGCAGGGAGCCTGGTTTGGCCGAGACGCTACGGGAGTCTGTGCGCCTCAGCCTCCTGGAGTGTCGGTATCAGTTCAGAAATGAGCGCTGGAACTGCAGTTTGGACGGCCGGGGAAGTCTTCTGAAAAGAGGTAAGCCATTAATTCAGCCTATAACTTCACCGCGTTTTACAGTTTTAGTTTACCTGTTTTGGGCGCAAAGCAGCTAGTGCTGAGTTCTAACCTTGGACAACCCAGTTACTCAGTCTCATTGATCTTTATTTGCCTTTATTCTTTTTAACCTCAAGTGAGACAGGTGCATAGCTGCAGGACTTGCAGTATGCTTTACAGGTAAGCATCTGTGAGTAAGTGTAAGCATCTAAAGTGTCTCTAAGCAGGAGGTCTCTGAGCCATATCTGTCTGCATGGCCCTGAAGCTGATGGCTACATCAGTATCTCTTAAAATCAAGTAATTATCTGAGAAGCAGATATATGTGACAGCACTACAGCAGAAGAAGTGAGGAAAAAGTAGGAGAAACAAATTGTTAATCTCTAGCTCCAACTGGGGCCAAGAATGGACACAGCAACCAAATATGTCCAACTTTAATAAAATATTTACCTTGAAAGTTTTTATTAAAGGTGTGACTCATACACAGTCTGATCACAGTTACCTTTCCAATTTCTCAAATAAACATTCTTATATAAAATAATGTTAGTTATCACAGAATAGTATTACATTAACATCAATTAATTTATTATGTCTGACTCTTTAAGAATAAAATGCAAACAAAACAGTTTTTAAACTATAAATCTTTTTTCCATTAGTTGTTGCTGCCTTATGATCACACAACCTTTAAAGTAAGAACCAAATTCATCTACAATTTCCTTGATTTTACAACATAGAAATGAGCAACTACTACTACTATTTATCTGGAGAGATTGCTAAATTTGTGATAAAGCAACTGTGCTGTATGTAATTTAAAGTCACATTTACAGTCTTTCTCGCGCACGTCTAGCAACTATAATCCCAAAGCATTTGACACCAAAACACCAGGTGACACTTCTAAACTATTTTGTGTTACTTAAGATTTCTTGACATATCATGCCCCTTCATTTGTATAAAAATCCCTGAAAAAGCTTTCCAAAAGTTTTCTGGTTGAATCCTATTTCTAGGAACTGATACAACAATTGATTAGATGCACTTGGAAAAAAAGATATGCCAATACTAAATCACCATATTACATATAGCTCAAGTTCACTGCTGGTCTGCTGTGCAGTAAAAATGCTTAAGGATTCCAGGCTTTATGCATATGGATATCAGTGTGTGGGAGAACATGAACAGGTCAGCATGGAGGTAATGAGGGAGTGGAAAGCCAAGAAATGTGGTGCGGTGGAGAGTGTTCAAGCCCGTTGTTATTTTTATCTCAGGAAAGCGCCCATTCCCAGAGGAAAAGGGTGGCATGATTACTCACTTTCATCTGGGAAAATCCTTCCTAGTCAAAATAATAATTAATTGGATCAAAATATACCCTGGTGATGGCTCTGGGTGAAGCAAATAACAGTGTGTAACCAAAAGAACAGGTCAGAAGAGGATTTTTGACACAAGAAAACTTGCAAAATAATGCTGAGGTTGTCGTAAACCATGACAACGTACTGAGCTCTGTGTAAACATTCTGGCTTATAGGCTTACTCAGTGGCACAAAAGATGTTTTCATGATCGCAAACTATGAATTAATCCCTTAAACTATAAACAGTTTGCACTCACTTTTTTAATACCACAAATCGGTCTTGCATTCAAAGCTGTGTAAATTTGGCTCTGATGTACATTTAAATTTTTACACAAAGTGATTCCACCTCTCATGTCTTTTGCATCTATCCCAGCATTCAAGGAGACTGCCTTCCTGCTGGCAGTGTCCTCTGCGGCGCTGACCCATGCACTCGCCAAAGCATGCAGCTCAGGCCGAATGGAGAGGTGCACATGTGACGACTCCCCCGGCATCCAGCATCGAGAAGCGTGGCAGTGGGGGGTCTGCGGTGACAACTTGAAATATAGCACCAAGTTTCTCAAGAAGTTCCTCGGCCAAAAGAGGGTCAGCAAGGACCTGAGGGCTCAAGTCGACTCCCACAACATCAACGTTGGAATTCGGGTGAGTGGGAAAAAACAAAAACCCAAATGAATGGAGTAGAAATATTACAAATCAAATGTGCCTCTGTGAAATAGCCCCCACATCCCTTTATGGTGAAATGGCCTCCCAAGCCTAAAGGCATCAAAAGCATCATTTATACCTGAGTCACACTTAGCTCAATTAGTTGGGCTGCACTTTAACATGACAATTATACCTTTGACACACTCCAGTGCCATCAGAGGATACAGAATTGTGATCCCTACCTGCATATTTTGCACAGTGCCAGCCAGACAAACGCCCCCTTATTTGCTTCCGTCGCTGGCCTTGGTGAATAATACAGAGGCAGAGGGTGAGGCGGTGTAGCAGGGAGACAAGATGGCTGTGGGATCGTTGGAGCCAGGTGTTCTCAGGCATGATAAAGCTTGCTGTGCGGGCCTACAGAAAATTAAAGATCTCATGTCAGAGACAACGATTATAACCGTGGCCTCTTTTTAATATACGAGCGAGCATTTTTTCCCACTTACTGAATCACTGTGCTCTTCATAAATCCACCTAATGTTCATAACCACTCCTGTAGCTCACACCTAGAGCCAGAGGAAGAACTGAGGGCAACTGTCAGTGTGGCCGAGAAGAGAGCATGAGCCGGGTTAACAAAAGAGGTTGGCGCCTCCCACCCCCATCTCTCAGTAATGGTGCTCTGAAGCCCCTGAAGGGTTCATACCTGCAAAGGGAGGAACTGAGCAGAACTTTTCAACCCAGAAGTACCCTCTGGCTCCCTCTGCATGACCTGTCTGTGGCCCCCACAAGACAGCAGCCCTGAGTGATCGCGCTGTCTTCGCTGACCATCAAGCTCAGTGAACTATTAACCTACATCAGGGGCACCATCACAAGCCGCTGCTCCATATAGTTTTGGCACTTCTTGCACAGAAATTCTTATCAATGTTTTCCATGAGCAGGCATGTACAAAAAAGGGTGGAGAGATTCCACTGTCTGCACTGTTTGTCACCTATGCCTCAGGCTTTAGGGAAGAGAGACAGGAGAGAAGCAGACAGAGCTAGTTTGAACACATTCAGAAAAAAAATGGCAAGAGCTGTCCAAGTGAGAAATGTGAGGTGACTGAAATACGACATGCTGAGCAGTCCCCCTCAATCCATTATGTCAAATTTTTGACTGAGGTGGGCTAAAGGCTCACTATCTGTAGACCACCATCCCTAACCCCCTACCCACCCTCCAGGAAACTGTCTCACTCTGTCGAGATAGACCTCCCAGATAAGAGGCCAGGTAATGAATCAAACTGAAGGAACTGACATCTCTCCCTTTTCCCCTCCCTTGCTTTCCCCCCCTCCTATCTCAGGCAGTGAAGAGCGGGCTGAAAACTACCTGCAAGTGTCACGGTGTCTCCGGCTCTTGCGCCATACGGACTTGCTGGAAGCAGCTGTCTCCTTTCCATGACACTGGACGGCTGCTGAAGTATCGATATGACACCGCAGTGCGAGTGCTGAGTGTCACCAACGCAGCCACCGGGGAGACAGAGCTTGCGGGCCCCCGTCGCCACGGCCAGAGCCTCCGCACTACTGACCTGGTCTACCTGGAAGACTCCCACAGCTTCTGCAGGCCCTCTCGCTACTCCCCGGGCACAGGCGGCCGATCATGTGCCAAAGACACCAGTTGTCAGAGTCTGTGCTGCGGACGTGGTTACAACACAGCCATGCGCCTCACCAGCCTGTCCTGCCACTGCCAGGTACGCTGGTGCTGCCACGTGGAATGTCAGACATGTGTGAGAGAGGAGGAGGTCTACACCTGCAAAAACGCATAGCAAATGATGCAGTATGCAAAAAAAGAAAATGTGAGAGACAAAGAGTTCATTATTGACCTGACATACTGACATGGCTGAACTATAAGCTCCTATAGACAAAGGGAGGGATCTCACAGCGAGAGCATGTCTTTGCAGAGCACCATTCTGACCCGCATGTTATTTGGGGAGGAACATAGATTTGTAACATTATAATATTGCTGATTATTTGCTAACCATCACCGATTTGATATGCAGCAGCATACTGTAGGTGAGGATGTTTTCAAACTACTCTGCTTTTCTCTCGCTGGATGCACTGAAATGCCACTCTTCTGGGACGGAGGGAAATGAGCTCTTAAAACAGATACTGGTCTGGACTGGATGTCATCAGCAGTACGATGTCAAACCCCATCTGCAGGGGAGCTCTGACAGTGACTTTGTTGTATTGTAATTGCATTGGCCCCTTCCACTTGACTATTTATTGTATAAGTCATTGTGCCTGTTGTACTGCTGCTTTATACTTTAATCCTTCTTGCAACTGAGTGTTGCCACTGAGGCTAAAATGGCCTTAAAAGTAATCCAACTGTCTGTTTTTCTGTCTGCTGTGTTCTGTTTTCTGCTGTGGAGTAGTTCATTTCTGATTAAAAAGCACTTACGTTGCTCTTGCTACATATGATACAAAGTGTATAATTAATCATATAAGGTAGAAAAACTGTTTAGGCCTAAATATATTTTAAACTAGAATCACTGGAAGCTTTGAGGGAAGGTTGATGCCACTGATATACATTGTAACTACATGCATTAACAGGGCTATTGTGTAAAGAAACGCACTGGGTTTCAGTTGCTTTTATGGAAATGTCTATGGAAATCTCTACACAGCCTAATGTGGGCTCAACAGAACAAAGGGAAATACCAGAGGTAATAGCAAGGGAAACACCAAACATTGTCTTTGAAAAACAAAGAATGAAAAACACTTAATTTCTGAACATACCAGCCCTCCTCTTGTATTCCCTCTATTTATAGAAGCACACTCTAAGCTATTGGCTATACTTTCAAGTTTAAAATTGCCTGACTAAACCATTTGGTCTTCAAAGTCGAATTTAGCCCCATCTTTGTTCTAAACGCCTTTGAAGTGGGCTTAATCATGCTCCTTATTTTCCCAAATTGCTAATCAAAGAAATTCACGTTTCATCATGTTTACTCCCTTATCCTTACATACAAGACAACTCTTATGTGTCCATGTGTGCAGGTCAAAAGTACACTTAGGAACCAAAAGGCTTATTTTATTGGCCAGTTTATGTTTTGTTTGAGTGATTCTGAACTGCACATATTATGTGAATATAACTCATGTCAGGGCTCCAGGCGTATGACAACGTGGAATCGTAATTCTCTACCTCACTTCATCTTTTGGCAAAAATCAGTAAGATTTATGAGCTATCTAGAGTTATATCCTATCCTTTACTTTTGTATTAAAGATCATACAGTTCTTTTGAATTTGATGCTACATATCTCCAAAGGTTACTGTTTTCAAACAAATATTGTTGCATTACATTCTTATTTAAAATAAATAAGATTAATAAATGGACATAAATTTGTAAGAGCTGTGTTTGTTGTGTTTTGTTCAGTTGCCGCAGGCGGCTGCCCTCAACTGTGCTGTCACACACACACTCCACATGCAACAGGGAAGCGAGTGCAATACACCTGCCTGAAACGCTGCGCCCTGCGTCTATTGAGCAAAACCACTTCCTGCTGTTACTGCCCTGCCCTCCTTTTCATCTGAAAGGACTGTGGTCTCGATGCATCATCCTCAACCGCCCAGCGAAAGGCGAGGGGTGGGTGGGTGGAGGACACGCTTACAGGTGTTGTGCCTCTAGCGAGTACACCAAACATGATGACAATCATAATGATGATGATGACAAAGATGATGACTCAGAAGAATGCCGTCTTACAGAGCATTTGACCCCCAATTCACCATTAAAAAGTAACACTCGGCTGCCCCAGAATGAGAGCAGTTTATGTGCTATTATCCGTGAATCATAACTTTCCACTCATTTGCAAGGCATCATTGAACCAACAGTGTACAGAGGGCTATTGTGTGAGTTATTTGTAGTGTGTGTTCTGGTGCTTTTGATGTTGCTCTCTAATTACTTTGATTACACATTATTATTCCTTATTAGAACATCAACTAGAGACCCCAAGTATTGCAGTGAATTATAAGACAATTTCAATCTTTCAATCAATCTCAGAAAAGTTTTTCTAACAATTTTAATGGCCTTAAAAACCTGCACAGTGGATGTACAGAACATGGTAGTGTTGGAGCAAATTATCTCTCAGTGTGATGAGTGATGAGGCTATACTGCATGTTTAGTGCACAAGAAACAGCCACTTGTGTAACTTTTAGGAAAATCTTGCAATGAAAAAATGTGATAAAATAGGAGATGGGCCAAATGACAGGAAGTAAATAAGTATGAATAAAACGTTTTCCTTACGTAAAGAGAGAATCATTGTGCACCTGCAGAAAAAACATGCTTCTTGAAATTTTTCGTCCTAAATCTACTCAAAATCAAACATTGTCAATTATGTACAGACAAATGCGTGGAAACTTTTTTAGATTCCTAAAATGTAGTGATCAGTGCAAAAAAGGCATTTTCTTCAGTATTAAAATTCTTATCTTTCCAGAATGAAAACCATGTATGTCCAAAGTAGGTGATCATAATTATTTTTAGATAAACATATTGTGCTCCTTTATGGGTTGAGAAAATTCTCCCACTTCTAAAGTCAAATTGTCCTCATGAAAAGTTGGCATGTTTTTTACTGGACAGCAACTATATGTTTTTGTTTATCAAATAACATAATCATATTACTAATATAAACCTTTGCTCATATCAATTGCTTCAATATTAATTTCCCATACATAAACGTGTCAGCCGTCTTTCTGATGTCTGAGGTCAAACACACATATATATATATATATATGTTGAGACTACTGACTCATTATGTGAACTATTGCGGATCAATATTTAGCTTTATTTGGTATTTAAAAAAAAAAAGAAGCAATGTTCTTCTCAGCAGAGCTGTGGGATAATGAACAAAACAGAGGAGTGTGTCGCAGAGAGCAGGCTGGACCAGGGTTGAGATACTGAGGGACATAAAGGAAAAAGATGAGGATGGAGGGATGAGAAGGAATAGTTTTTGGCCCCAGGAGGCCTATCCCCTGCTGCTGCTGTTGTTGTTTTATAATGAACTCCTAAAGCCTTCATTTCCCTCACTACCCTGAGTGGAGGGGGTGCAGCGATGGGGGCTGCTGAGTCCACAGCCGGATTCGCACGCACAAGCCCTGAGGGTGGCTGCTTTGAGCAGGGTGGGGGGTTGGACGAAGCAGGGGTGCAATATGCAAGCTCCTGTGTGTGTTTGAGACAGTCCTGACAGGAGACAGGTGAGGGCACAAAGGTTTTTGCATATGTGTGTGTGCACACCTGCGGTCATTTCAGTGGGAATGATATGTGTGTGCAAGTGTGTGTTTATAGTCAGGTTTTCCTGTACGGGTGTGGGCTACAGTCGGCCTGCTGTATGCTTGAGCTGCTGAAGCTTCTGTCTGTTAGTCTGAGACACTGAATGACATAGAAATGAAGGGTGATGCTGGTGGTAACACTATCTCTTGTGTCTGCTTGGGCCTGGTTCAGGTAAAGGTTATGACGCCGGGCTGAAGATGAATTAACACGCAGGGGATTTTTTGAGATATATATTAGTTTTATGTGGCTTAGCCAAAATATATTTTCCAAAGCATCTTACATAGCTTACAGGTTTATACATCACTCATTTGTGTAAGAACAGTAGATGTTAAATGAAGCATAGAAAGCTTGGTATATACTTTGCTCAAGGACACAAAGCACAGTCCCGTCCTGTAATCGGAACCTCTGAGCCCCAGGTCAAACATCTAACCCCTACAAGACTTCCGCCTCTAAAGAGAAGGTACTTAGATAGCATCAGTGCTGGGCCTAATCCCCATGCCCTGACATGGTGCAGAGAGAAAATTAAATGATGAAGAGACTGAGGGAGAAATGGATTTTGTGCAGAAAAAGAGGGAAAGAGAGAGAGAGAGAGACATAGAGTTGTAAATACGGCATGGGGTAGGTATTTGGAATGTGAAATGACTAATGCAATTGCTCAACCCACAACAAGAACATGCACTGCCTAGAGCTATGACAAGGCTAAGTGCATACCTCTATGGGGGGGCCTAACTCAGAGGCTGGGGTGGACTGGGATGGTGGCTGAGTTCCTCACAATAGGTGACGAGACACATGGGTGTAGAGAAGGTTTATACATGTGTGATGGTCAATTGAGCAGGCGGCAGGGTTGAAATGATGGATTTTTACCTGAGGACAGAAAAAAAACATTAGAGTAGATTAGTCATAGAAAAAGAACTTTATTACAGTATGAATAGTTATAAATTCTAATACACAAAATGGTAGCAGACAAAAAAGAGAGATTTGAGTAAACTATTGCAACAAAATACTGTTGACACAGATTCTCTGCTTCCAGAGGCATCTTGTAGCGTCTACCAGAGCCAAGCCTCGAAAACCTGGAGAACACAGCTTCCTGTGTGGCACGCAGCACCTTCCTCCTCACCCTCTGTTCCAGAGCTGAAAGGACTAGTTGATTAAGCAATGAGGAGAGAATTCATCAGCATCTATCTTGATAATCAATAACAGCGAAAAACAGCTTCTGTCTTTATTTTAAGCAAAATGCCCATAATTCTTTGCTTCCAGTTTTGCACAAAATATTAATATTTACTGGTTTTCTTAGTCTTCACTGATATTCAACAAAATATTATTGGCCAGCCGCATGGCTTTAGGGACGGCATTGTTGATCAGTTGGTCAGCCCACCATTTATTTGGTCCTGACTAAAATATCAGTACTTGACACTATTTGATGCATTGCTATGAATACATTTACATTTACATTTATTCATTTGGCAGACGCTTTAATCCAAACTTACATATGAGGAACAACATACAAGCATCAACAGAGCATCAAATACAGATCTACAACTGACAATACATACTAGTAAGAGCAGCACTAAGGACTAGTAAGAGCTCATAGTTCATATCACATCAATGGGGTAAATACCTAGGGAAGGAAGTAAGAGTTAACAAAAAAAGTGCAATTAATACAAGATAATTGTAAGGGGATAGAAGAAGAAGAACACAGGAAGTGCATGTTAGAGGTTAGGAGTTAGAGGTGTTATAAGAGGAAGTGTTTTCAGAAGAGATGAGTGTTCAAGAGCTTCTTGAAGAGGGACACCCCTGCTCTGATGGCGTGTGGTAGCTCGTTCCACCATTGTGGTGTCACAGACATTCAGAGTTCCCACAGGATGAACTTACTTTGGTGAATTTTCCTCTAGTGCCATCATCAGGTCAAAATGCTGTACGTTGTGTTTGCTAACATCCTAACATGCTAACATCCTAAACTATGATGGTGAACATGGTGATCATTACACCTGCTAAACACGAGCATGTTAGCTTTATTGTTGTGAGCATGCTAGCATGCTGAGCTTAGCATTTAGCTTGAAGCATTGTTGTGCCTAAATACAGCCTCAAAAACACACTAGCATGGCTGCAGACTCTTAGTCTTATTTATTATTTTCTGATATTTTAATGGACCAAATGATGAAGTCATTAATCAAAAAACAAATAAACAGATTGATCTATAATGAAACTAATTGTTAGTTGTGACTCTACTATGTTCCTAAAGCGACTGTTGCTCGCTGTGGCCATCATTTTAGTTTAGTGGTCACATTGACAACCCTTGCTTGCAAGTTTGCTTTCTTAAACAATAGGGTGTAAAATTAACATATTCAATACGTGTTTTCAAAGACTAAAAAATTGAAAATGGTAAAAAGAGGGCTTGATCGCTAAGGATGTGACTAACTGCTGGCAGCAAGACAAAGCATAGTACAAGAGATAGGGCAGCATACTACACAAGTAATGTTTGTGAATTGATTTCACACAGTAAAGATGCCTGCACCCTTGACTGCACCTCTGTGAGCCCCCTCACTGGGAAGCTCCTGGGGGAGGCTGTTCCCATGCAGCTCCACACCTGCAGCGCTAACTGAAGGGTTTACATTGCAGCCACTGTGAAAGGACATGATAAGGCCTCATGCACCTTCATAACTGACTCCCCATGCTCAATATATGGTACTCCTCTGCCGTTCTCTCAGCTGCACATACACACACCCACACACTGACCTCCATTACAATCGAAACAAAACTTTCCCAGATCAACAATGTGTAAACACAGATAAAGGGCAGAGCTATGTGTTCTGTCAACCAGCAACATCTATAAAAAACAAGTCTGGTATGACATCTGTGATCATTTGTAATATCTACAGCCATACAATAGGTTGGATTTATTTTCATGAGTGCTCTTACTTATTAAATCATCACTGTCATTAAATGATTCAGATACACAATAATGTGCCGTCAAAATATCTTTTGAGTTCTGTAAACCGCACACTCTGGCTAACTGACACATTGGACTTGATCATGAGTGTAGTTGGGAGCGGGTGCATGACTGTGGGTAGGAAGCTGTCAGGCAG